ATCCCTCCATGTTTCACGGCCGCCTGCAGGCATTCAGTGTTCCAAGTCTCATTCTGATTTCTCCAAACATAAACCTATCTCGAATTTGAATATTGGAAGAATTTACTTTCATCTGACCAAGTTACAGACTGCCAAAATTCATAATCTTTGCTCTCGGATTCTCCCTCCCAGTCCATACGCCACTTCCTGTTAACCTCTGAAATCAAGGGCTTTTTTCTTGCAACTCTTCTTTAATTGCCTAGCTCTTTCTCACCGCATATGGCATCATTTGCATGCTGTTGGCATCATCTTTTACGCTCTGACGCCAGTTTTTGATAACTTCCCTATTCAGTGTTCTTTTTGTTCGCTCAGACACGATGCTTGGTCTTCCTGAACGTTGTTGCACGGGACAATGACTTTCTTCACTAAATTTCTATTATTAACCGTTTGATGATTAACCTGGAAAAACCTAGCAATTTCTCTATTTGACTTGCCACACTGATGCCATCCTATTATTTGCCCTTGTTGAAATTCACTAATTTTCTTACTTCAATGAACTTTCATTGCAAGATATAAGTCAATTATTGTTCATAGATGAGAGTAGCTTGATACTAACACGGTATTATCTGAAAAAAAAAGAAGTGACGTTATTAAACAAACCAAAATCGCTGTAATCAAGGTTGGCTAAAAACTTATCATAGTCCACTGTAATACCTATTTAATACTTTGTAGTATATCTCTTCCTTAATTCAACAGCAAACAATCCCTTTCTGTAGCTTTAAATCAATGATTTGCAAGTTTCCGTTGGTATTTTACGCCATTTTTCTTTGCATATTCTCTTTAGGCCCAGAATGTTTTTTGAAGTTCTTTTATTAATGAACGCTACAAATTCTTTATTGGATTCAAGTCTGAAGACTGTGATGGTGATTCGAGTGTATTGTCATTGTTTTCAATAAAACATTTTTTTCGTAGAGTAGCCGTATGTTTAGGGTTATTATCTTGTTGCAATACACAGTCAAACTTTACTACTTACCCAAACAAATTACGCTCCAAAACACCTTGGCATATTTTTGAATTTGTTCTACCATCTATTATCTCTAAATTACCCACACCATTAGCAGAAAAACATCCCCAAACCACGATATTGTCACCACTAAATTCTTCTCATTGATCTGGGAGAAATATTGCATGGTGCACCAAATCACGATTTGTTCTCAATAGTTTTTACCTTTTTATGATTAGCAATAACGGAACTAAGAGTAGTATATAGTATATTCAGGATATCTGCTCTTTTCCTATAGCCTTTGCTTCCTTTCAATGTTTGATGATCAATTCTTTTTTGCAAATTTGATAGTTCCTTGCCTTCCCCCATGATAATAATTATTGTGTATGATTTGTGTGCGGAGATAACATTATATAAGAAATAAATTACTGAATGTTCTAGATTGTTACGGTAATAAAATAATTGGAAGAATCTAGCAAGTTTTTAAACATAAAGGGAATTTAAGCCTTTTGATATTAAAGACATATTTTGTACGAATACTTTTTCGTCTCAAAATTTTATAAATAACACATAATTTCATTTATAACAAAGTTTTCTAATTGATATTGTTGTATATTGCAGCATAAGCAATGGTATAGAAATATTGTATAAATTTTCAGTTTTTTTCATAAATTATGACTATGTAGTTTAAAAATTTCATGATGTTGGAATACTTATTTTCCCCAATGAATATATATATATATATATATATATATATATATATATATTAAGACATGTCTCATTGAATAATATATACAAGTTTTGTTTACTTTCAATAGGATCCTCTCATATTCACGGACAAGAAAATTACCATATATTAGTTTTTTAACACCATATTCAGTTATTTCGAGTACTTTCGACATTAGCACATCAGGGTGTTGGCTATTATTTTAATAAGGATACTAAGAAGATCATCTGTGAATATGAGAGTATTCTATTGAAAATAAGTAGACAAAACTTGACTAAATTATTCAATGAGACATGTCTTAATGAAAACATGCTACCAAAATATACAATATATATATATATATATATATATATATATATATATATATATATATATATATATATATATATATAAAAACAAAGTGTGAATCATTTTATGAAAAACTAGGAAAATAGATGTGGTTTAAGTGGAACTTTTTGGGCCGTTCTCGCACTGTGAATAATGAGGACAAAGATAAGAAAGCATCATGCATAGATAAAGGCAATTGACAAGAGGTTTGAAAACAAAAATGATAAAATTAAGAGCGGCTTAAAAAAAAAGTCGTACAGAGCGAAGATTTTGACTGACAGCAACAGGCAGCAAAAAACGGAACGAAAATATTAGCGACTTAACTCTAGCTGTCTTCTTTCTTTTACTCGCTTACGTTGTTATCTGTTTTTCTATTTTAATATTTGACTTTCTTTTCGAGTTGCACAGTTCTGCTTAAATCTTGTGCTCTATCACGTGAACATCTATTTACTTTCTTCTTCCTATTTTTCTGACTGTTCTTCCCTCATAGTTATTCTTTCTTTCTTTCTTTCTTTCTTGTATTTCGTTTTTTCTTATTTTTTTCTTTCATATTTGGTTTTTCTTTTACATTTCTTTCTATCTTATATTATTTTCTTTCGTATTTTTCATATTTCTTTCTTTGTTTTTTTTCTATCATATGTCATTTTTCTTTTATATTCCTTTCTTTTTCATTTTCATTTCTTTCTTTATTTCTTTTTACTTTCATATTTCGTTTTTCTTTAACATTTCTTTCTTATATTTCTTTCTTTATTCTTTCATATTTCGTTTTTTCTTTTATATATATCTTCCTTTCCCATTTTTGATATTTCATTCTTTCTTTCTTTTTTTCTGTCGTTTTTATTTTACACTTTTTCTTTCTTATTTTTCTTTCTTCTTTCTTTTTCTTTCACATGTCGTTTTTCTTTTACATTTCTTTCATTCTTTATTTCTTTCTTTCATATTTCTTCTTTTTATTCATTAAATCATTCATTTACATTCCTTCCTCCTTTGTTCATTTGTTTCTTCCTTTCACGTCCTTTCTTTCTTTCTTCCTTCCCTTTTTCTTTTTTCTCTCTTTCTTATTTTAATTGTTTCTCTATTTTGTCCTTGTATGTCCTTCTTCATATAATCTAATCTTATCAGATATAATTTTTCATTTTTCTTTTATTCGCCTTTTTTCTTTTCAATTGCTCATATCTGTTTTAATCTTACCATGTTTTCTTCGATAACTTCCTGCTTTCTTCATTTCCTTGATTTTCCCTCCCCACACACTCTATCCTCTTGGTTTCTTTTTCACACTCTAACCAATAGTAACGATGCAAAATCATAATCTCATATTTATTTTTCGATGACTTTTTTTTCTTTTATCAAACATTTTTAAAAGTAAGAACAAAAAGTAAGTTTTTGCTTTTTTAAATGTTTCCATTCAATATATGTATTTTCAAAGAGTGCACCTGCATACTCACAAATAGGCGATAAAAGTAATTCTGAAGAACATGTTCATTCTATATATTTTATTTATTTTTAAAATTTAATCTCTGTAAAATTTAATTTTTTCTTAATTGTTTATTCTTACCAATAAGCAAGAAGAATCAGCCATATTTCTCTGATGATGAATCTCGTTCATTTTTATCTTGCAAGCCATTGATTGCGTGTTCATTATTCCGCACATATTCCCTGATAACCCATGAGGGTGTTGAGGTGCCATGCTGAACAAGTGCTCTTTATCGTATTTCTTTGTTCAATAGAAATTATTTGGTGATGCCCATTTCGTCGTTTTTTCATTTTTCTTTCTTTCTTTCTTTCTTTCTTTTTGGCTCTATTTCTTTCTTTCTTTCTTTCTTTCTTTTTTTCTTTCTTTCTTTCGTGTGATTGTTTTTGTTTAGAAAGAAAGAAGAAATAAGGTTATTTTCTAAGCGTAGCTTAGATGTCACACAGGGCTGAAAGAATGGGATATCCAGTGAAGATCGAACTTGAACGTAAATTGATCCAGCAAGACAAGCTTGTTAACAATTACACTACGTTGGAGTGCCCCAAAAGAGAAGGAAGAAAAAATAAGAAAGAAATTTAAGAATGAAATATGAATGAATGAAAGAAAGAAATGAGAAAAAGAAGAAAGAAAGAAAGAAGACTGAAGAAGGAAAGAAAAAGAAAGAAAGAATGAAAGAAAGAAACAAGTAAATAAAAACAAACAAATGAAGTAAAGAAGGAAAATAAATAAATAAATAAAGAAATAAATAAAGAAAGAAAGAAAAAATAAAAAAATAAAATTCAATAAGTTGTATTGGCACCATTGCAAGATCCATTCTTGAGGAAGATCACAAATGTTTTCTAGTTGCCTTCTCGCTGATTTTTAATTGAGTAGCCCCTCTCCTAGAATAACTGCCATATAAGACTAAATAATCCTGTCTACCATACTATTTTTAAATCAGAGCTGGAGCGGGAAGAAATGGGTTCATCCTTTTCACAAGGGCATCTTTGAGTCGAAAGCGAACATATGCCAGAATTTGAACTCTGCTCGTTGATTCCACTTTCCACGCCGACAACCATTAACACCCCGCCTACCCCGCAAGCAGTTTTGTGCTAAACTTGGTTTCAACTCTAGTTTCATGACTACCAATCAAATATTGAACGTTTACAAGTATATTTTCCTATTTATAACTTACTGTTGTCTAATACGTATACAGATATATTTCTAAACTGGGAATGGCCACTCGTAGATACATTGAAATACTAATACAGTGCGACTGTTTAAAAAAAGGCCGCTGAGTGTGTTTGCCTCGTATGCCACTGCTGTATGTTCAATGCACGTTTTTTATGTTACTCTTGTTCACCCAATATAAGGCCGAAGTGCCACTCAAGGTAGAGAGGCTTACAGCCACATCACGTTGAAACATCGGTATCCGTACGATCACCGAAGTTAAGCAACGTCGAACCTGGTCAGTACCTAGATGGGTGACCACTTGAGAATATCAAGTTTTGTAAGCATGGATGTGCGGGTGGTGTAATTGATAATGGCACGGAATTGTTGATGGAAGAGTCGATTTCCACTTCCCGTTGGTTCGTAACATGCACTTACGCGCAAATAGCCTCGGGAAAGGTATAAAGCCACCGCTTCTCCCCACCTATGGGTTAATTAGTAAAACATATAAAAGGTGAAGTAAGGAGGACGGACGTTTTTGAAAAATTAACACCATCATTAATTTTATCTTCAAAAAGTTTTTATTGACATCAATGTGTTCGTATTGAATTAGCATTTGACAAAATCAAGTGTGAAAAACAACATCCCTCATATGATGTTCGTTTTAATTGATGTATTTCTGAAGGCGTTCTTGGAAGTCGGCCTCCACTCTTTCCGGCATTGCTCTGTCGAATAGCTTCCTTCAAATCGTCCAATGTACGGGGCTTATGTTCATACACATGTCATGTGGTTATCCTACAAAAAATAGTCACACATGGACAAATCAGGGGACCAAGGAAGCCAACGGTTGTCAGCAAACCTGGAAATGAGGCGGTCACCAAGGAGAGGGTGAAGAACGCTCATTGATGGTCTGGCTGTGTGGGACGTCCTCCCATCCTGCTGAAACCACATACATCGGATAGGAATACGTTTTCGTCGTAATTCAGACACAAAGAAGTTGTTTAACATCTCGATGTAACGCACGGAGTTCACAGTAACAGAATTTCCATTATGATCTTCAAGAAATAAGGACCAATGGCGCCAGATTTTCCAATAGTTCACCAAACCGTCTCTTTTGGGCTGCGCCAGTCGTCTTTTGCGCACTTCTCTTGGATTTTTATGAGCCTAGTAACGACAATTCTGTTGATTCACCATGCCATTTAAATGAAAATGAGCTTCATCATTCATTAACAAAATGAGGTAGTCATTTGCCACAAAAATTGCTTCCATTCCGATGTGTGAAGTTAAGCCGCTGTGCATAGTCCACTGGTCACAACTGTTGTCCAATGACAAATTTGTAGGGGTGGAAATGCAGTTCTTCATGCGAAATAAGCCTTTATGAACAATTATTGATGCCAAAATCATTAGCAAGCCTCCGAGCAGAGCGATTGGAATTGCTAAGGAAAGCTTGTCTGACACATTCCACATTTTATGGGGTACGTACCGTTCGTGGGGCTCAACCGATCTGCTATTGATTAATGTACCCAAAGTAAAATTGTATTACGAGTAGGAACAGCCTGATTTAGGTGAATGTTGAATCAGCGACGGAATTCACGCTGAACTGCTGACAGACTTGTTATTTTTCACGAAATTGTCGTAGGCGAAGCCACGGTACTCTATCGCCCACAGCGCCATGGCTTCAACTGAAAAGCAAAAAATGCTAAGACACCACGGACCAAATGGAGACTGTCAGACATATGACCCTCCACCTACTGGCGCTGAGTAATAACCATTTCAAAAACGCCCGTCCTCTTTGTCTCACCCTGTATTACTAAACCATTATTATCTTCGAAAAACAAATAAAAGAATTCTTACAATCTAGAAATATTTCCTGACTTTAAATAACCTGCAAGGGTTGATAAGCCATAAAAACGAATCAATTAATCAAAGTAGAGGATTGCTGAATGCGGTTGTTGTAAGGGCGTAGAGGGAAGGGAAAATATTGTATATTATCAGGATATGTAGAATTGATAACGATTGACTTGAAAAGGTCAAGATTGTAGTGATCCGGAAAGCATTTCATCGGGAGTCTTTTCCAAATTGCAACAATTCCATCTGACATGCGAAGTTTAGCCTCTACTGTTGCCCAATGACTGGAGTGGAAATGCAAAATGCGCCAGGAATAAAATGTTTGAATGGAACTTATTCCCTACTAATGGAATATGTAGGGAATGAAGATAAGTCGACTGGCGGGTGTACGTGGCATGGTGGATCCTAGCTGTAAAGGTTTGGACTGGGGGAACTAAGTGTGATACCATTTAGGGTTGCTAGAAAGAGAAAAGAAAAAGGAAAGAACCAAAAAAAGGCGAGAGTTAAATTTAGATGATAAAAAAAAGCCATCACGAAAGGGACATTAAGCGGTGTTATTTTGACAAGGAAAAATGGTGAAAATTTTTATTGCCATTGTCGAGAATTCTAAATAGATAAAAATTAACTGTGTCATGGTGGCGAACTTATATTATCGGGAATAGATAACGCCAGGATGTGAAAGCGTCTAACGGGCCAATCGCTTGGTGACCACACACGAGTTGCAAAGACAAAAGACCAAACCATAGGTTAAGTCTTTGTCGATTGGAAGATGTCGTTGGACAAGGCATCTGGGTTGTGTTGGAATTTGACAATGACAGCGAAACTATTTTATCAGAAATTGGCGAAAATTTCGTTGACGACTTCCATATGAATTCGGCTGTGAATTGGCGAAATTGTTTTATCGTATCAGTGGTTGGCGCCGGAGAGTGAGTATGTCTGGTTGACCACCCACTTGTTAATTGGCGAAAATCTCATTGATAGGTACCAGGTGACATTGAGGATAAGAGCTGCGATTAAGGGACCACACTACGAAAGAAAAGAGAAAGAAAGAAGGAAAAAGGTAAAGGAAAAGAAAAGATATTTTTTTTTTCTTCGAGCAAGATTTTTTTCTTGAAACCAAGGCTAGTCTAGTCACACCCACACTGCTGAGCGCCCATTGGATGAATGTAAATGAGAGCAAGGCGGAGGTGATCATGTGATGCAGGGGGGAGGCCTGCGACCACCCATTGAGGGGATAGGTATGAGATGTCACTGCGAGAGAGAGGGAAAACCGTTGACGCCCTCTGAGGGTATGGTGAGATACACATATGAGAACAGAAGAAGGTGGGAGTAGGAGAAGACTTCCAAAAACGGAAAGGAGTGGAAATTTCTTGACCGAAAACAAAGAAGTGGACTGTGGATTTAGAATTATCAAGGAACCTCAAACCCTGACGATCCCACCCCGGTTTTGGGTCGGCGTCCATATAAGCAAAGTCGCAGCGAGCGAAAATGAGTTCGAGTTCGAGTTTTTTCAGTTCCAGTTCCAATTAAGTTCCAAGCAGTTGCAGTGAGCTGAAAGCTCTGAAGACCGCCTCGCAGAGCTGACTTGAAAGATTCACGCAATTCCGAACTCATCTTCTAACCAAGAACAATTTATTTTTGAAGAACGACTTAGATTCATACCACCAAAACAAGTTTTACGAATATCGCCTGAAGACGCACCAAGAACCAGTTTCTTAAAGAACAGACAACTTAAGAATCGCCTAACAAAAACAACGTGTCCCATATCCTTATAGTGGGTTCGGAAATAGACGCAGTCCTGTATCCAGCAACCAGATATAAAATATTGTTATCCTTTTTTAACAGATTTGAACTTTTCGAGTTGTTATTTTATTTTCTGTTACATCTATTTGTACGATATCGCCCTTATTCGAACTCGGCTTGTATTACGGCCCCGACGACTGATTCATTTCGTCTGCCTAAGATCAATTCACAACGTGGGTAGGTAGACTGGAAATCAAAAAGGTAACCAGACGTTGGAGGCGAGTTGGGAACGAGGAGGCTGATATCGAATCTAACCAGATTCCCATCCGAATCACCAAAAGGTTAGAACGTCACATTTGGGTGTTGCGACCACTACCAAGCCAGTTGGTCGTCACAGGACGGGATAGCACGACTGACGCAGACAGGCGGACGTCACGTTTGGAGCGGCGACACACCCCGGGGAGCGTCACATAAAGAATCTAATTCGTCTGAGCATCTGTGATGAAAATAGCGGTAGAGCAACGAGAGGCTAGTAACGTTCCGTCTGTGGGGAAAAGGTTTGAAGCGTGGAGGAGCAATACATTAACTACAAGGTCGGGCAAACGCTTCTCAACAAGACTGAGTCTGGTAAGTGAGGACTGGGCAGCTCCATCCCAAATGTGGCAGCAAATGTTCCATTTTGGGTCTGATATGGCTCTTGAAGGAATAGAGCATGGTAGGAGGAGTCTGGTGTTTTCTGAAGCGGTACAGGGAGCCGACAAATTTTTTTCAGCGTCTTTAGTGATGGGTCGTAAAATATGAGTTCCCTTAGACAAGGAAAATTATTTACAACCGTTCATCCGGCCTGGAGAAAACTCGGGTCGTCTCTGTGATGATGAAATGTTACTAGCTTGGCTTTCCGAGCTGATTTCGTCCTGTAAAGATGTACACACGCACACAAACGCTTACACACACATATATATATTCAGTTTTTTTTTTATCATTTAAGCGTTATTTTTAGTGGATTCTCATAATATTGAGTAGATGCTTCGTTTATTTATTAATCGCTATATTCATTTAGTTTCGTCTACCGTCCTGAATATTCGAGAAATCTTATTAAATATGCGCCATCCAGCAGGATTCGAACCTGTTTCCCTCTTAGTAGGCAAAACCGTCGTTAGATCCGACTTCCTTATACCAACTCAGCCACGAATGGCATTTGCCGATCTAGACGGGCTGAATAGTGCCTTTGAGCGAAATCTATCACGTCATAGACTCTCGAATTTTCATATCTGCTTCCATATGCAGTGCATGTTCTTTTTTTAACCAATCGTCTCTCGTTATATTCAAAATTACGCAGACATTTATCGACTGCCTATACTTATTTAGACGGACACACACTACACAAATAAAAAAAAACAATCAAACACACACACACACGCATGCGCGCACGCACATACACACATCTCTTCCACTGGTGCATTTAAATCGATTTAATGAAAGGATTATGCAGACGTGCACAAACTGATATACATGCTTGCATTAACACGTGCCTGCACAGAATATATTGTATACGCGCATAAATCTATAGTCACGCTGTGGGCTCACATACTGGTCTTCTGCTGTCAAGGCTGACAAATGACACAGCAGCCATTTTGCTGCCATTGCCTGGAAAGTTAAAATAACTAGGTTGCCGTTTTTTTCGCCATCATTTGTTTTTTAATCTTGTATGCTACTAGAAGGAAAAGTAAAGTCAGGATGATTGTCGACGGGA